GAACAAGTATATCAATATGAGATTCTTTAACTTAGTTGGTGCCTTCATAAGTAACTTCAAGTTTGTCACAACTAGATATTCTATTATATTTCTTAGAGTCTAAACCACATACAAGGATGAGTTTTGCTTTGGCGTTGGCTTTCAACAATCAATGATCCTTCTCATCACATTCATCTTCGGTTTTAGGCACACTAATGTTGTTCACTAATTTGGTAGGGATTTTGGGACCAAGGGTGACTATAATCAACATAGCATAATCGGTGGCTTGAAGATATAGGGTCATCTTATCCTTCCAATAGCTATAGTTATTTCCATCAAACAAGGGTGGCATATTGGTGGCTTGACCTTCAACAGTGCTAGTACTAGCTACGATTGCCATGGATCGAAAACTCTCAAATGGTTAAACCTAAGCAAGAGTCTAGATTCTGATACCAATTGTTACCTAAAAGATAACCTAAGAGGGGAGTGAATTAAGTTTTTACAAAAAAAAAAAAGAAGATAAATAAATAAAATAAAATAAAAAATACTAATACCCCAATAAAAATTACTACTAGTATAGCAAAATATTAATAAGATGTTTAGAAGCTTAAGATGAACAAGCAATAGATATATAGCTAATGAAAGGAAGATAACTTGATTAATTACAAAGAGAAAATATCAGTGAATGATTTTTGACTTAACAGATTGTGATATAGATAAATAAGCAATTATAGTTCTTAACACTCAATGAAAGATAAATATCAGATAGCTATATAAGGTGAGTGATGAGATTTGATGATTAGCACAACAATAACAAATACTTTGTCAGCTATATTAGTGAAGTATTGTTAACACAGAGAAGTTTGTCAAGTAAGGTAGATAGCACAAAATATTAGATAGCTGTATAGTTGAAGAGATTAGATGATTAGCACGAGAACAACAATTACTCTAACATATATAGCAATGACAAAATCAACACAGTGAGTATATCAGATAGTTATATCAGTAAAGAAAATAAAAGAGATTAGAAAAGATGAGGCAAATAGATTTATAGTGGTTCAGTTTCAACCAAACCTACATCTACTCCTTAAGCTTCACTTGAGATTTTTCACTATCTTCTAGCTTTACAGGGGTACTAGCAATATCTTCACAAATGGAGCAATCCTCCACAGATTTTTCACAGACTTTCCAAGTCCAAACCCTTGCACTCCTTAGGTGATTCTCATTGACACTCAAAGAGTCAAGAAACCTAAGTGTACTACACTCTTACAAGATTGAAATGAAGATGTTTTTTCTTTTAAAGAAAGTTACAAAATTAATCTCTCAAAGATAGATATACAATATTGAAGCTCAAAGTTTTTTGTAAATCCTCTTACAAGAATATATGTTTAAGGCTAAAGGCTTTGTATATTTTATGAAGGAGAAAGAAATAACAGTTGAAGAACACTTTAGAGAATAGAGAAATATGAGAATGATGAAAGATTGTGAATTGTGTATAGCACGTTGTATCTCTTCTGTATCAGTTGTTTGTCTCAGCTGCTTGTTTAGAGCTCAGTGTATAATACAGATTTGAGTGCTCTATTCTTCTGTTCTTCTGACAATGCCCATTCTTTTATTCCCGTTGAAGAGATAGGTTGGTGATGGCTGAGAATAATATATAAATCATTACATAGATATTCCCTAACGTTTTGCCCGTTAAGTGATGGGCTATCTAATGAAAAACCTTTGTTTTCTCTTCTCAGCATCTGTTATATATAACAGTTCTCTGCACAGTGGACGTCCTCCCAAATGTCCCAAGTGAAGTTCTGTGTCTGTGGGTTGTCCGCCTGGATGTCCCATGAAGTTTCGATCGTCAAGGTTGTTATTCGCGGTTGTCAAGCATACTGTGTTCTGACGTCCGAAGCGAAATATAACTGAACTAGAATGAAACTGGGCCGAAATGCCCTGGCCAAACATCTGCCCAGTTGTCCAAGCCTGCTCAAAGCTGCAGAAGAAAATTGCCAAAATTTGGCCTGATCAGTCGACCGGCCGATCATCTGGCCAGTCGACTGCCTTGTGTCGGTTTTGGCCTCCTGTGTTTTGCTGCTGCTCTGATGCATTGGTTTGGTACCTGTTTAAGCCTCATTTAGAACCTCCAAATGACATGATTAGTATATAAACAAGGATCAAAATATCATGGAATAAATCATAAGAATTTAATCTATTTTGATCCTCCAAATAAATCAAAACAAAATAAAAAACAATCATCAAAATACAATATGTCTAATAGGGCTTTTTATCTCCATCATCATAATTATGTTCTATTGACACCAATTTCTCATAATCAATACTAAAATATAAGACTTACTCTTTTTATTTAAAACCCTAACCACCATCTGCATGCATTTCGAAAATCTCTCCACAAAATCACATTTTTCATACAATAGAAAACACCACATATCTATTTATAAGGTTGTATTGAAGAGAGTCAAAGAAATCCCTACTTCGCAAAGTGAAAAGGAGAAAACTCAAAAATTCACCAGCGACGAAAAGACGAACTGCTTAGATAAAAGAAAGATTTTACTGTGCTCTACGTTTGGTATATGAAACTAGGGTCAAAGGTGGTTAAAAATGGATAAAATTGAGGGTTACTGAGCTTGGAAGCTCAAAAATGACCAAAGGGAGAGAGGGAGAGGGAGAGGGAGAGAGAGAGAGAGAGAGAGAGAGAGAGAGAGAGAGAAAAGTGAGGAAAATTGAGCCAAAAATGACTTTTAAATGACTGATTTCGAACAGATCGCTCAAGTTGTGAAACGAGCGTGGGAGATATAAGACTGCTCAAGCAGTAAAACATATGCTCAAGTGAAGAAAACAAACTCCCAGTATCTCAGACTGTAAAATAAAGTACTAGGAGTCCCAATAGACTGCTCGAGTGGTAGTCCCACTGCTCAAGCGAACAGGGATTTTTCAGAAGTGTTACAAACGCTTCATAGCCTCCTTAGATTTGACTTTTCAATAATTTTCTCATTTTATTATTATATAGAAATACAATTAAAAAATTTATTTTTTCAATTAATTATATTCAATAATTTTTTTTTGACATGGGAGTATTTATAATTTTTCAAAGTATAGGAAACAATCTATATTTTTAGCAAATTTCAGAAGTGTATTCGTAATTTATTCTATATAATTTTTTTTTTTGGGGGGGGGTGTTCTAAGATAGCAAACACAAATATCAATATTGAGATAAGGTTTTTTTTTTTTAAATGATTTTATTTATTTATTTATTTATTTTTGTTTAGAGAAAAAAATACGTGTATCCATGTGTGTTATGATCTGTATATGTGTCTGTAAAAAAATATATTAAACCCTTTAAAATATGAAAAATGCTATGAATTGCACTTTAATTATTTGGAATTTATTCTGAAAGGGATTATATGGTTGAAATTAAAATTGTGTAATATAAGGTTTATGTATGAATAAATTTGAACTACAAGATAATGATTATGGTTAATTTCTAGATAGTAAGTATGAATTTGTAATATTACTATTAAAATATTTTACATATAGGCATGTTTCAAACAATTTTTTTATGTTAAAATATTTAATAAAGATAAAAAAAATTACAATAATCAATAAAACAAAATATTACATTCTACACATTAATCATTTATTTTATTCTTTTACAATCATTTATTCAACTACAAAATTAAAAGGGGGATGCACCAATAAATCCCAAATTAATAACTTATGCACTGTTTAGTCCTAAAAGTTTTTTTATAGACTGAAAGGTCCCATTACAATGTTAATAACATCAGATACAATATTAATAACATCAGAGTCATGTTACAAACATTGGATTTCAAACATCTAATGTTCATCAAATTTCAATAATGTTTGAAAATATAGGATGAAAAACATCTAATGTTCATCAGATTTCAATAAATTTTGAAATTATAGAATGAAACATCAGATCATTTACATCATTCACATCATGTTGATGTAAAAATGGGACTAAATGGAGCATAAGAAAACTTTTAGGACTAAATGGTTCAACGTTTAAAAAACTAGGACTTATGGGTAAATTTTCCAAATTAAAATTTTACAAATTATCTCAAATATAACTTTTTTTTTATCTCATAAAATAATCAAAATAAAATTTAAAAACTAATTAAAATAATCAAAATTTTAAAGAATACAATAATAACATTTAGTGTGTTTGGTTTCAGTTTTCTGAAAATTGAATTTTTTATTTTTTGTATTTTTTAGTGAATATTTTTTTAAAATTTTAAGAATTTTTTTTTTTACTTTTTTAGATGTACATTACTTAGATGTATATTACTTAGATGTATCTAACCAGTAAAATATTTGTAAAAAAATACTTTTTAAAAATTAATAAATACACAAAAAAATATTAAAAAATGTATTAAATTTTTATTTTTTTATATATTTTTAGTATTTAGTAAAAAAAATTTAAAAATCATAAATATTATGTTTTTTAAATATATTTGTGTTAGATACGTTTAAAAATTAAAAAAAATATTTAAAATATTAAAAAATTCAATAAAAATAAAAAATAAAAAAATAGAATTTTTCGAAAAGTAAATTGTGAAAATTGAAAAAAAGTGAAAAAAAAGAAGAAGAAAAATTCTGGATATATTTGGTTTGAGTTTTAGAGATGAGTTTTAGAGATGAGTTTTAGAAGAAAAAAAAATTCAAAAAATTGTTTGATTTGAGATTTTTCTCAAAAAATTTCTAAATCACTTTCTCTCTTACACATCATTCAATCACTTTATCTCTCTCCTCTCTTCTTCTCAATCACTTTTTTTCTCATACACATTTACTCAATTATAATAAAATATCAAATCATCCTAAACTCCCAAACTTCAAAATTACTTTTAAAATATAAACTAAACAAACCAAAAAATTTTCTAAACTTTCTTTCCAAATTTTTTTTCAAAAATAATTCTCCCAAAAACAAGCCAAACAACAACTCTATCTTCTTCTTTTTTTTCTTTCTTTTTTTTTTTTTTTTTTTTTTTTTTTTTCAGCTGTCTTGACCAATGGTGCATATCTGTTGAACGTCGATTGTGATCACTACTTCAACAACAGCAAGTGTCTTAAAGAAGCCATGTGTTTTATGATGGATCCTGCCTATGGGAAGAAAACCTGCTATGTACAGTTCCCACAGCGGTTTGATGGCATTGATTTGCACGATCGATATGCTAATCGCAATATTGTCTTTTTTGATGTAGGTTCCACCTGACTCATCACGTGTGATCACCGTGAAAATGATTTATGTCAACATTATGTTATTATGTTATATTATTATTAAATTATTCTTTGTTTTGGTCCTATTTTACAGATCAACTTGAAAGGATTGGATGGAATCCAGGGTCCAGTCTATGTGGGAACTGGTTGTTGTTTCAACAGGCAAGCTCTTTACGGGTACGATCCAGTCCTAACAGAGGAAGATTTGGAGCCGAACATTATTGTTAAGAGTTGTTGTGGTTCAAGGAAGAAGGAAAAAAGAGGCAACAAGAAATACATGGATAAAAAGAGAGTGGCAAAGAGAACAGAATCCACCATTCCCATTTTCAATATGGAGGACGTTGACGATGGTGTTGAAGGTGGGTCTTCATAAGAAAGTTTTGAACCTTTCTTTTTAAGTTTACATGCTTTGCACTCGCAATAATCCTTTCAATTTTGGTGACATTGAAAAGGGTTCTTTAAGCAATAATGCTTCACACACAATAATCTCGGGCAACAAGAGGTCAAATTTGACTACACATTATACAATCATACATGAATGCTACCAAATGCCCTAATGGAAAGCAAGGAGGAACATGAAAGGGGGAGTTTAGGGCAAGTTCTACACATCTTATTCGATTTTGGACAGTTATGAAGATGACTAGATTTTTATCCAACATTAATTTGACAAAATCTTTAGGACACCAAATTTGACAAAATCTTTAGGACAGCAAGTTTCAGACAAGCGATTTTGACTTTGAGCCAATTCATCCAATTTATAACTTTTCTAGGTATTGAATTCCTGCTAATTTGACCAACGTTTGAAACTGTGAATTTTTAGTTGACTGTATTCCTTTCATTCTGCAGCGTATGAAGAGGAGAAGTCACTTTTGATGTCTCAGAAGAGCTTAGAAAAGCGATTTGGTCAATCTCCGGTTTTTATTGCTGCAACCTTTATGGAGCAAGGTGGCATTCCACCAACAACCAATCCCGCAACTCTTTTAAAAGAAGCAATCCATGTTATTAGCTGTGGCTATGAAGACAAAAGTGAATGGGGCAAAGAGGTAGATTAAGATAAAATTGCATTTAGCATACCTAATAGGCTTCTTTTACTGATTTATTTTTATTTTATTTTTTGAATATTGAAACTAATCAAACCTCTCTCTTCATCTCTCTTCCAATCAGATTGGATGGATCTATGGTTCTGTGACAGAAGATATTTTGACTGGATTCAAGATGCATGCACGAGGATGGATTTCGATCTATTGCATGCCTCCTCGGCCTGCATTTAAGGGGTCTGCTCCAATTAATCTTTCTGATCGTTTGAACCAAGTTCTTCGGTGGGCCCTGGGATCGATTGAGATTCTTCTGAGCAGACATTGCCCTATATGGTATGGGTACAGCGGGAGATTAAAGCTTTTGGAGAGGCTGGCATATATCAATACCATTGTTTATCCCCTCACCTCTATCCCTCTCCTCGCTTACTGTGTACTTCCTGCTGTTTGCCTTCTCACCGGAAAATTCATCATTCCTGAGGTAAGTAAACAATTATGCTTTATGCACCTTTCAAGAACCAAATTATCATTTGTTAGTTGCTGCGAAAATCTATTTGTATATGCAAATGGACTGGTATAGAGGGAGACACTTTTGGAACTATGGTATTTGAAATGTGAATTGTTTTAGTATGTAGAATGGGAACGGGAATGCAATATGCCGCATGCTGTAAATTGTCGTATGATAAGGGCAGTTTTTTTTATAATTTACAGTATAAGCTATTAAGGTACCTCTAATCTTGAGTAATTTTATTTTTATTTTTATTTTTATTTTTTTAACAATTAGACATCCAATAAAATGTAAGTTATTTTTTTCTTTCCTTCTTTTTTTTTTTCTTCTTTTATTTATAAATTAATTATGTAGCAACACATTTCTATGAGCATTATGACTCATTTTTTATGTCGTCATGTCAAAACTTCACTCAATGTAGATTTTTGTTTATTATATTTGATTTTTTACTACTAAGGAAACCTTAAGAAAATATATTGGGGAAAAAAATTTGAGAGATCGCTTTGGATTGCTAAATTTGCCGTTTTGGAACTAAAGTGTTCCATGTTTTGGAATGTGTGTTTCCAAATGTAATTCGCTGGAGTAACTGTGTTTTCAAGTAACACTGGTTTGGAATATAACTGACCAAATCTCTCCAGTTATATTTCTAATTCAACTAATGAATGTACAAACATGGGGAGAATTACAAATTAGACTTATTCCTATTTCTTAAAATAACATGATGTGCGAATGCTGAACATGCGGTTATGTGCTTCCTTTGCTTACATGTATCCCTCGGCATTTATTTTGATGCCCTACTTGTTAATGATTTTCTTAACGAGTTGGTTACTACTTTTGTTCTTGGCAGATCAGCAACTATGCTAGTATGTGGTTTATTCTTCTTTTCGCATCCATTTTTGCTACTGGAATATTGGAGCTTAGGTGGAGCGGTGTGGGAATCGACGACTGGTGGAGAAACGAACAATTCTGGGTGATTGGTGGTACATCAGCTCATCTCTTTGCCGTCTTCCAAGGGCTCTTGAAAGTACTTGCTGGGATCGATACCAACTTCACTGTCACCTCAAAGGCATCTGATGAGGATGGTGATTTCGCAGAGCTTTACGTGTTCAAATGGACGTCTCTTCTCATCCCTCCCACCACAGTCCTTATTTTTAACTTGGTGGGTATAGTGGCTGGTGTTTCCTATGCCATAAACAGTGGGTATCAATCATGGGGCCCTTTATTCGGCAAGCTGTTCTTTGCCATTTGGGTTGATTCTCCAAAGGTTGTGTCTCCCAGCGCACATGCCTTCAATTAATATATTCTTATTATTATTATTATTACTATTATTTAAAAAAAAAAAAAAAAAAAAAAAAACCCATTTATTTCTCGCAAATCAGTCATCTCACACATTATAACAAATTACACTACAAGAAGCTATAATATATATACTCCCACTAAAAGAGAACCAATATTGCATTCCAAAGCAGCAGCAGAACCCATATGGTGAATCCTCCCGATCTGAATTTGGACTCGTTTGTTCCGACTCCTTGCTTAACCCTCTGCATAAAAACTCCTCCCACATCAGCTGCAGAAACTATGGTTCCTCCCAAGACCTCAATGATCGTGAAAACGGCTCACAACATTCAGTAGTTCGTCAATTCATGGACGACTGGCCTAAAAACCACACTGATCATCATCATCGCTCTGCCGTTTCATGGCCCAATGTCGATCTACAGGCAGACAGGACCCAACTATCAATTTCAATACCTGTGGCTGCCTCCTCTGATCCCTCTAATGAAAAACTTGCTCTCTCACCGCTGAGATTGTCCCGAGAGCTTGAGATGGGTTTGGGAGTGGGCAGTGTAGTGAGTGAACCAAACCAAAGGCAAGTGAATTGGATACCTATATCGTGGGAAAGTTCACTGGGTGGACCTCTTGGAGAGGTATTGCATAGCACTAACAACAGCAGTGGAGGTGATTGTAAGAGCTCATCGGCTCTTAACCTTATGACCGGAGGCTGGGACACCAACCCTAGCGCCCAGTTAGCATCATCTCCTACAGGAGTCCTGCAGAAGATGACATTTCGGTCACTTTCTAACAGCAGTGCTGGGAGTAGTCCGAGAGCAGATAACCACAAAACCCATGAAGAGAATTCATCCTTGTTGCCAGCATCATAATCATTTGACCTCCAACTAGGAAGATGATAATGGAAAGGAAGAAGGGTTTTTTTTTTTTTTTTTTTGTATGAAGCTTTAGAGAGAGTGAGAGAATTTGTTTAGTTCTGTAATGTGTTTAATTTATGGATAATGGATTTGCTTAGTGGTAAAACATGACTTTGTAAAACCCTTCAATTGCTATTTTAGGTAATCAATTAATGTTGTATTGTTGTGGATGACGACGACGATCTCAAGGTTTTGTTTGGGTTTTTCATGTGCACATGTGATGTTGGTAGATTGTTTTTATAGGGAATTGCTTCTAAGTAGGTTGGAGGCATGTTGGTCGTTGGGTGGTTGTTAAGATGTTAAATGTGGGTGTCTAGTTTCAAGGCACCCAACAGCCCTAATAACATGTGCAGTGATCCGTCCCCCAAGATCTTGGTCCCAGTCTAAAGGTCTTTTCACATAGCAAATTAATTGAAGGAGTTTGGATATAGGGTGGGATAGATGGACACATAATTTTGGGGTCTGGATCCCATGCTATTGTTATCCAACAATAAAATTAAGAGTTTCTTTCAATTTGGCCATTCAATTTGTGAGAGCATTTGGGTTTTACCGACCTATTTTTTAATTGATTTAGGTGATTCAAACGGTTTATTTTTTAAGATTTATTGAGAGGAATATTTATGTAAAAAATCAAAATGATCAAACATCGATAGCTATATATTTGAATCAAATTTGTATTTCAAAAACTGAATAGCTATTCTTGAGATTATATTTGTCTTCCATTTTTTTAAAACAAATATTAGTCAAACATATAGTTACTGATGTCCAATTATCTTGATTTTTTACATGAATATTCTACTTAACGAGTCTTAAAAAGTGAACCAGTTTAGATCACCAAAATCGGTCCCAAAATGAGCGTATCAAGTCCAAACACTCTCTCAAATTGAGATGACAACTTGAAAATCCTAAAACTAAGCAGACATGCAAAATGAAGAATGAAACACAAATATTCCACAACACACCTTTTGTGAGATATCTTTGTTTTATTTTGTATTTTGTATCTATGCACCTACAGCACTGCTGGCTATCTAATATTGTTGATATATTTTGAACCACAAGTACTGTTATCTAATGTTGTAAAATAATTAAGATTAAACATATTCGATTTTGATGACATGAACATAAAAAATAAACAAAATAGAAGATTCCTACTGTGAGTTGTGAGTACGTTCTCTCTTTGAGAGAGGAAGAGAACATGAGGCAAAATGAAGAGAGCAGAAAGTTGCCCAACCTTATGGAAATCCAAGAGCCACTAGCTTTGGGTGCACCAAAATGGATATGGGTTGTGGGACAATGACCCGGCCATACCCAAAGACAAGCTTCACAAAGTTCTATGACCCATGGACCTAGACCTGGTTCGGTCCAATCTGGGTGCCATTGGGGTTGCCCAACCATATGGAAATCCAAGAGCCACTAGCTCTGGGTGCACAAAATGGATATGGGTTGTGGGCCAATGACCCGGCCCAAGCCCAAGCACATGCTTAACAAAGTTCCACGACCCATGTAGATAAACGTGGTCCGGTCCAGTCTGGGCAACAGTGGGGTGTGTGTGTGATAATTTTTAATAACAATTTTGGTCCATAGTCTTGGCACAATTCCATCCACCACTTATCCATAACTCACTTCCTTCAAAAAATTTAGATGCCCAAAGGGCCGAAACCCTTGCAAAACTTTAGGATATAAATACTCATCAATGTATTCAACTTTCGCCAATGTGGGATAAGTGAATTTTCACCTTCCAAAAACCTCTACCATTATGCCCACTTTATGAGACAATGTGTATTCAATTTTTAATGGTTTTATCCCATTTTTTGTGTGGTGTAACCCACTCAGACTTACCTCAATTGATAGTTGGATCCTACTTTAATTTCGTATTAAAGTGGCAGAAAAACTACAATTTTCCAACAACTAGAGTTACACAAAATACCTACAAAACTCGATTATCGAACCAATTTAACATCTATGGGTTGAGTTGAGATGGTTTTGGCTTTTCATTATATTGGTTCAATTTTTTATCTTAAAATCAGCCTGATAAAATTGAATTGAAACTCGATTTAGACATGACCCTATATAAAATATAAAATTTTTATTTATATTCACGTCTTTATATAATTAGTCTAATTGGTTTGTTGAAAGGAAAAAAAAAAATGGTCTTCATACAAAAGATTTTGTTAATCAAAATTTATTTTCGTCAAGATTCTTCTGACCCATCTGTGGAGGAGCTCTTTGTAGACGTTCCCGAACGTCCCGAGAGGAATCCTGTTTTGTTCATTTGGGCTTACTACAGTTCGGACTCAATGTCACGGTCCTGTATCTAATCTCGCAAAGTGCAATGCAAGACCGATGAATCATCAAAGAGTCCAAATCCAGCAAATCGTTTTGAAAAACTGATTTTTAGAAAGAAGTGCTAAACATGGACTGCTTTGCCAGATACAGAGTTGCCACCTAAATATTTTATTTTGGGGGAATTTAGGAAACCCTGGCTCGTGCCTAAGGCCACGTGTCCGTCATCATCAAAGTTGCCTCGGCTCGGGAACTTGGGTACGATTGGGGAAGGTCACTTCGCAAGCACCCCCGCTTGCCCAATCAAAGATCGGCCTCTACTAATCATGATGTCAAGTTTTTGAAAACACATGTGCTCTTATTCCGGTTTATTAGCCTAGAATTACTATGTGATGTGCACAGCAAAACAAGTATGGATTGGATTGCCTAAGTTGGAACAAAGCATCGCATATCTGTTTATTTCAAAAATGGATTGAAATTTGCTACTCGCAAGTAGGCTAAAACACGGGTTTCGACGAATTTATTCCAACTCAAGCAACCCAACCTTCACCCACAGGCATTCAGGCAGGTATATCACATAAGCACATAGTCTCATGGTAAGCATGCTATCATGGCAGTCACTCACACAGATGCAAGGATGCCAAAGCATAAATACTCACCGAGTACTCCAAGCCAAAACAGAAACTAGTTAGTAATCAATGCATGATCCTAGTTCATGTTAAGATGGCTAATGCAACACATGCAAAAATACAACTAGGATAAGCTCGGCTATTCTAAACATGGCATATGAAATGCAACAAATAACATGTATTCAACTTGAAATTGAAATACAATGCAGTTAGCATGATGCGCCGAGCCCGGTGCATGCAATACAGATGAATGATGCAAACATGTGAGCATAAGTATGCTAATTGAAACATGCCCTAAACTAACCATCAAAAGCTAGTAAATAAAAGGAAGAAAGACGTGGGGTTGGAAGACATACATCACACACATGCATACTTATTACAACATTGCCCTCCTCGGAGGATCCGAATAATACAAAACCAGATGAATAATGAACTACAGCTAATTATTACACGACACTAACTAATTAACAAATTTAACTACGCAAGCATGTAAACTAAATGAATGTGACTGCCTCAGCTCTGTTTTGGATGACAATGGATGCATGCATGCTCAAGTCACCTCATCGGGAAATCCATCGCGATGCTTCATCTCGCCTTTGTATGCAATTTATTTTAGAAACTTGCACGAAGCTCCAAGAGGCTGAAACTCCACTCTGGGAAGTTGTGGGAGGGCTGCCGACCAGCCAATGGCATGGGAGACCACTTGCCAACCACCCCTTTGTGGTGGAGACCAAAAAGGGTGGTCGGCCTGCCAGAAAACCTGGTCGGCCGACCACTTTCTGTCCCTGGATTCTGGTTTTCTGCAACACAAAGCAATAGGGAAGCATGGCAAGGTATTTTCAACAAATGTGTGCTCGACCACTCTCCCCGTCATAGCATAGGCTCTAGGAAGTGTGACCCTCGATCCTCGGACCCCCAATCACGTATCTCGATGCATGATGGCCAAGGAGTCGAATTGCACGACTTAATGTGACATGAATGCACAAATGAACACAATAAGACCTAAACTCCATCATGGGTAATCCGGAGTGTCGGCGACCGAGAATCGAGGTACGTTTCGTCACTTGGAGTACGAAACATCCCTCGTTTCCCATGTTTGGACTAAAACCTACTCCAAACACTATGCAACAACTAGAATGGCATGGCATGCAAACACAATGCAACAACTAGTATGCAATCCTAAACGAAATACAACT